AGAGAGATTATGTAAAGGTGCAGATTTCCAGTGATGAATGTAACTGTATTGTATACCTAAAATGCACCAATAAAATTCATGTTAAAAAACCACAATAACATATCACTTCAGAATCATGGGAATGACTATAATAAAAAATAAAATAACAAATGTTAGGGAGAATATGGAGGAACTCAAACCCTCATGCATTCTTTGTGAAAATGGAAAATGGTATAGCTCCTTTGCAATATTGTTTTTCATTTACTGAAAACATTAAATATAGAGTTATATGATCTAGCAATTCCACTTCTAAGTATATATTTAAGGGAAATGAAAATATATCCACCCAATAATTCATACTCAATGTCTATGGCAGCATCGTGCATTATAGACAAAAGGGAAATATCTCAAATGTCCATCAGTTTAAGGATAGAAAAAGTGATATATCATACAATGAAATATTATTCAGCCATTAAAAGGGATGGAATATTGATATATGGTCTCGGATGAACCTAGAACACATTATGCTAAGTAAAAGAACCCAATCCAAAGAACTACATATTTGTGGATCAATTTATATGAAACATCTAGCATAAGCAAATCTATAAACATAGAAAATAGATTACTGGTTGTCAGAAGTTGGCGAGGGAGGAGGAATGGAAAGTCACTACTAGTAGATATGAGTTTTTCTTTTGGGGATGATAAAATGTTATAAAATTTATTGTGGTTATGTTTGCAAAACTCTGTGACTAAAACAACTATTGTACTATTTAAATGGATGGATCAAATGATATGTGAATTGTATTCATTTTTAATTTTTATTAGTACAAATTTGCAGCATATAGTGATAACATTCATCATGGGGAGCTGGTGAAGAACTATATTTCAATAAAACTATTTTTTAAAATAGGCAAACCAGGCATGGCAGCATACTTCTATAGTCCCAGCTACTAAGAAAACTGAGGCAGGAGTATCTTTTGAATTTCAAGGCTCAAGACCAGCCTGGGCAACATAATGAAACAGTCTCAAAAAGTACAAATAAAAACAGCTACTGTTGCTACTGTTACTGTCACTTTTTCATAAACTCCCAGTGTCAGTGTATGACCAGATAATGAAAATGAGATTATGTTAATATAACACTCAGCAATTCACTGGATGTGCTAAAGTGCCAGATGCTGTGTAACATGTTTTATATAAATGAAATAACATTTTTATTTTGGGGGCAAATTTATGGTTTCTATCACAGGTGCCCCAAGCTTTACATGCCAGCAGTCCAAAATTCCTTTACTAGCCATACAGAATTAATGTAATACATTAATGTATTTTTTTTTTACTGTAAATGGCCTGCCTTAACAGGGTGGTAGCTAGAAGTTCATCTTCTCAGTTGCATATTCGTTCCTACCAGACAGTCAATACCTCAGGGTGGGCATCACTTGAATTGTACTCATGATAACAGTACTTGGTAGATAACAGCTTCAAAAGCTCTCTTACTTGTTCTCTGTCACTGATTTTCCCACCTGGATTTGTTGTTTCCATCTGGATTCTTGTAGAGCCCTTGTTTGGAGTTATCGAAGGTGTTAGTGCTGGCCTCTTTCTAATTGGCATGCTGGTAGCCCTTGTTGCCTTTTTCATCTGCAGGCAGAAAGTGAGGTAAGTACAAGGATGCCTTGAGTGATCAAGCCTATGACTTTAGATATGCAACTAAAAATGCCCTTTAGCCTGGAAAGTAAAAAAGACAAATAATTTAACTTCTCCAATTTAAACAACCATTGTTTTTGCAGTTAAAAACAAGAGTCAAACTCTAAAATCATAACTTACTTGTTTTTTGCCTCTATTATATACCATTGATGAATATGCCCCCTAACCAATGACTATGAGGCCATCAGTATCTTTATTTAAATACTAAATAACACCTTTTGCATAGGAAAAATGTTGGTTCATATCCTCATGCAGATGGAGATATTTGTAAATTGTGTCCCCCACTTCTTTTCTGACATATCCTGAAAAATATAGTTGACATCACTATTTTGTGGCTTATATTTGCCATCCTAATTTAAGAAGGAACTCAAAAGAACCAAAGAGCATGTGCCCCACTGCCATGTTCTCTTTTCTTAGTGAATTTTTTATTTGGCACATTATACTTTCTCTTGCAGTCATGTCTGGCATCTGAGATTTATAGGTTTGGGTTTTCTTTTAAGGACAATTTTGTTGAGAGTGTGGGAAGTGATTATGACCTAAAGCCAAAAAGCAGAAGACAAATCTACAGTTATTATAGAGATCTGTGTCTAAATGGGAAAGATGAACTTTTTTATGTTCTTCTTTCCCTTTTCCGCCCTCAAAGAAATGTTGGCAGAGTGCAAATCTTCATGAATCCTTGAAAAATCCAGATTTCCACAAACATGCACAGCCTTACCATAAGTGGGAAATTAGTTCAAATAAGTGTCATAATTATAATAAAAATTCTCTACCTTGGGCTGGGGCTGTGACTCAGCGGCAGAGCATTTGCCTAGCATGTGCAAAACACTGGGTTCAATCCTCAGTACCAAAACAGGAAAATAAATCTTCTGCCTTATGTTTCAGCCATGGTAGAGAAAGGCCCTCCGCACGCTTGAGCATTCGCAGGGATCGACCACTGTCTGTCCACTTGAATCTGGGCCAAAAAGGGTAAGTGCCATGTCACCTTTCATCGAACTGGTTGGAAGGTGGTATAATATGAGATTTGCTGACAAGGTCTTTTTTCTTTTTTTGGTTTCTTCACAGTTGCCGGAAAACTTCTTGGTAAGGGAGAACTCATTACTTATTATATTACCACTTTTGAAATGCGACTCATACAGGTTATGGCATTTTGCCTTTTCTTCAGTAACTTTCCTTTCTTTTTATTTTTAATTACAGCCCCATAAAAGTAAATCAATTTGAAGGGCATTTCATGAAGCTTCAGGCTGACTCCAATTACTTGTTATCCAAGGAATATGAGGTACAACTCAAGCACAATGAAACACGAACACTCCCTAGTCCTCAGCAGAGTTTCCCTCCTAACCTTTACTGTGGAATCCTAGGCTGATTCATCTCTGAAGTTAAAATGATGCTGAGGGTTTCAGCTGAATGAAATTTATGCCTGGAACCATTCCCTGCACAACACATATAATTTACACCTAATCTAATCTACACCTAACCTTGGGGCCAGATTGAGCTCCCAAATAGTACAGCAAAATGCTGCCTAGATCAGATGGTAAGGAAGAGTTCATCAATCTCAAATGCACACCTAATATTGTCAGTTATTCAGCCCGGCCACATGCTTGATTGGGAAACAATGTAGTTTGGTAAAAAAGGCCCAGACTTTGGATTTTATTCCCAGTTTTGTTTGTGTGACCTGGAGCACATTCGTTATCCTGGCTAAGCCTCAACTGTAAGATGATGATAGGAACACCTCCGATGTGGGGCTGTGGATCTGAGGGGAACCCCAAGGCTTCATTCCATAAATAGTAACTGGTGTATTTTTACATTATTGTGTACCTCAAGGACTATCCAATTTAGCTTATTCTATTTTAAATTTTCCACTTGCAAACTTACTTTTGACATAACAGGACTTAAAAGACGTGGGTCGAAACCAGTCTTGTGATATTGCACTCCTGCCTGAGAATAGAGGAAAAAATCGATACAACAATATATTGCCATGTAAGTTTTGGGTTGCAATTTGTAAAACACTGTCTTCCTGTAGCTATTTCTGCTCTGTCCCAGGAAAAGAAAGGGGTTGAAGAAATATAGTGTAGCCGGACATGAAAGCTCTCAGGCTCTGGATGATTTTAATAAGGAATGACTTTTATGTTACTCCACTGCTCTTCAGAAGCATAATGACCAGCTTAAATTCTGATTATGAGCAGTTGTCTCAACATCTTAAAAGCTGAGCGCAACAGTGGATTAACAGCAGAACTTTGACATCAAGCTGACCAGAGTTCGCTTAATAAAATTCTAGTTAATGACTTACAAAAAAATTTATCCTTATCCCATTAGGTAAAGCACTAGAAGGTCACTTTTCTGGATTGTATTCATTCCTGCAGGTAAAGGGAACTGGCCACTTCAATAGGCAAATGTCATGATGGTGTAAAGAAAGGTGCAGATGGGGTTCACATTGTACGCAGCCTGGAGCAAGTTAGTCATCCTGCTTGGGCCTGCTGTGAGCAGTGGAGATTAGGATCCTCCCTTGTGGCTGCTACTGGGATCAGAGATGAGGCACATCAAATACTTCACTTTACATAAACAGAAAAATTACCCCAAGACACAGCAAGTCTCTCAATTAACTTTCTTCCAGATGATGCCTCACGAGTAAAGCTGTCCAATGTGGATGATGACCCTTGCTCTGACTACATCAATGCCAGCTACATCCCAGTAAGTGAACCTCTAGGCTTAGGATGAAGCTGAGACAGGTGCCTATTCTGGAGATGACACTACTCCTTTGTGTTCCTACTGTTCTGAGCTCTGGAGATATTTGTAGATTTTTGGAAAACCATGTCTGATTGCCATGAAACAGGGTGTTCTTTAATCACTTTAAGGCCTATTTTTTACAGTGACCATAGTAACTTACAATTATCATGAGCTCAGAATGCATTTCAAAAGTGGTTTTCTTTTTGTGGCCCTCAAGTAAGATTAGAGCTCCCGAGGGAAGATAAGGCTCTCCTACAAAGACTGCCTAGGTAAGGAAATCAATCTCATATGGATTTTTAAAAGCCACAGACACACCTCAAACACTGTGTCAAATCTTTGGGCTTTGATTCTGTAGCATCTTGTAACAACCTATAGCACATCACAGTGGAAGACATTGTAAGGATCAACTAAATCCAAATTGAAATCCCACTTCTGTCCCTTGATGGTTCTGTTGTCAGGTAGTTCTTTTAGAAATAGCTCGCCAATTAAACTTACTCCTTCTTTGACTCAAACAGAGAGTTGGAGAAGACAAGCCAACAATGGTACCAAAAGTTTATTTGAAAAGTGAGGGGTGAAGGGGTAAGGGAAAAACTAGCTCTGTAGAGTCAGCTTGGGTCTAACAGAGAGGAAGGGACTGCCCTAACACAGAGTGGGCTACCGTGAGGAGTCATGTTAGCAGGCTCCTTGTGGCATCTTGTCTCTTTTATGTCATCCACATTCATGGGATCCTGAAAGAAGCTTCACATACGGGGTCCTGGGAATTATTTGGCACTGACCTGGGATCTTATAATTGACAGGTCCTATTTATTTCCCCAGCCAGCTTTGCTATACCCTACTTTCTATATCAGTTCTGTGACCTTGGGCAAATTATTTTACCACTTTGAGCCTCCATTTTCTTTTCCAAAAACTTAAGATAATAATATTTACCTCAAAAAATCATCAATTCACTCAGTATACACCTAGTAGCTAAATGCTAATTGTAAGTCAAACACTGAGCGATATGCAGGCAGAGGATAAACAAGATTCTGACCATAATGTATTTAGAACAGTCAAGGCCTCAGGAAATTGCAAGGCAGAGCTCTGAGAAACCTGCCAGTGTGTTTCTCCAATATACTCCAGTGTCATCTGGGTCTCTCGGTTATGAGGCAGATGCTGACACAATAAGGCTGCAGTGGGGCCTGGAACTCTGCATTTCTAACAAGCCCTCAGGTGATTGATTCCATTGCTGCTGCCCTGAGAACCACACTCAGATATCAAGAGATTAGAGGTTGCCAGAAGGTATTTAAGAGATTACTACCCAGCAGAGAGAAAGGTAAAGCAAGCCATGTGCTCAGAATAAATGAAGATCAGCTAGATGGGAGGCAGTCTGGGTGGGCAGTGTTGTGTGTGGCAGAGGTGACATAATGTAGAGACTAAGGAGAAGCAAGGAGATGAAGATTTTCAACCAGGATTTACAAGTAATTATGTATTACTGGAGTACAAAATGAATGAAATAAAAAAATCCTAGCTCATAGTACGCTGGATAAGATTAAGTAAGAGGTGAATAGGATTAAGAAAAATCCATGGAAATTTTGACCCACTGCACATTATGTGACAAAAGGTTAACAAATAGTGGTTTCTTTTCTATTAAGCTTCCTTACATGCTACGGCTTACCAAATTATTCTAATGTCAGTTATCCAACATGACTAAAAGTCATCCCTCCAAAATGAATAAAACTCAATCCCTCAGACACAATTATAATTAAGGGTGAAGTGTTTTCTAGATTATTACTTGAGTCCTCCATTTGCCTTTTAGAGACCCAGTCTGAAGGGAAATGTGCCTCTTAACAATAGTTCAGTGTTCTGGCCTTTGTCCTTCCTGCTCCCAAGCCTTACACTTCTGTTCATTTCTTTTTCTCAAGCCAGGGCCCTGGCAGAGACCTCCCTATCATCTAATCTTCAGAGCTAACTCTTTGTTTACAGTTCTGAAGAGGCCCATTGTTTCTGACTCTTCATGTTGTAAATTCATCGCAGGGCAACAACTTCAGACGAGAATATATCGCCACTCAGGGACCGCTTCCTGGCACCAAGGATGACTTCTGGAAAATGGCATGGGAACAGAATGTCCTCAATATTGTCATGGTGACCCAGTGTGTTGAGAAGGGTCGAGTGAGTAAACAGTCTTCCTGACTTCCACACTTTGCTTCCCACATCACGGGTGGAATTCTAAGCCACCCGATCCAAACTTGTACCCCACAAATCCAAGTAGAGACAATGTGAGAATGTTGAAGCCCCTCAGTTGTAAAAGGTGGCTGATTCTGAGTCTAAAGTTTCAATCAAAAATGTTCCCACCTGTTGACTGGGATTATCATAAGAGGGGTTTACACAGAAAGAGATTCTGCCCAGTCATCTGCCCCTCCTTCAGTGTATGGCCTAGTAGACAGGGAGACCCTGCCGGAATCAGGGAGACTGGCCTTGTTCTCAGGAAAGGTGTGAGTTCTAGGCTCTTTTGGAAGATTCAAGTAAAATAGATGTCTGGACAAATTAAGCAAGCCTCTTGTAATACATTTATAACCCACTACTTTATATGGTTATTTAGGATTAAAAGGGAGATTACCTGTAAAGAACTAATAAAAAAAATATTGGGTTTCTCTCAGGTTATTTATGTTACACTGAGACCTTTATGCTCTCCTCAGCAAAACTAGCCTTATATTTGTACATATATATAAATAGACACAGAGAGATGAAACAACTAGAAATATGTATATAACCATATACATATGTTTATGTATAAAACATAGAAATTGGCTGAGTGTGGTGGCACACAGGTGTAATCCCAGCACCTTGGGAAGCTGAGGTAGAAAGACTGTAAGTTTGAGCCCAGCCTGTTCAATTTAGCAAGTCAGCAAATACCCTGCCTCAAAATAAAAACAAGTTGGAGATATAGGTCAGTGTGATGGCGTTGGGTTCAATTCTCAGTATCACAAAAAACAAATATTTATATACATATATAGTTCAGATGAGCCCCCTTGCAGTGCCTCACCAGTTAGCAGAATAAAAGCCATGTTTATATATTTGATACACATGCGTACTTATACAAATACAAGCAAATTATATATTCCTGATCAATGAACATGCACACCTTATAAAATACGTCAGTTTATAAATAAATGTATAAATACCACCAAACAAAATATAAAATAGATAAATAAGTGTTCACAATCCTCTCCCCTTTCTTTGTACATGTAAATACAAGTTTAGCTATCCATTATAACTTCTCAAAGATTTCTTGGCACACGGCCCACATTAAAAAAAACAATAAAAAGTATGAACAGAACAGAGTCAGGAAGACAAGGCCTTCCTCTGCTTGACTGGATCTCTCTTCAGAAAGAATACTAAATTATAAGTCATGGTTTATCTGCTAGTGGAACAGGAATGCTGAGAAAATCAAGTTTTTAAAAATCAAGCCATGTAATACTGCCTGAAATGTGAATGAATACAGTTTGGGAGCTCGAGGTTTGTTCTTTGTGGGTAGCCCCATTTCTTGGAGCAGCAGTCAGCTTCAGCACTGGTCAAGAGCCAGTTAATAAAAAGTAGATGCTAAATTGTTTTAGCAGCTGATACCGGATTCCTAAGTCAGGAAGGGATTTCAAAATGAAAGTCCAGGTTCTCACAGGAATCATGTTCCTGGGCTGACATTTTTTCTGTCTGTCCTCTTGTAGGTGAAGTGTGACCATTACTGGCCAGCAGATCAGGACTCCCTCTACTATGGGGACCTCATCCTGCAGATGCTCTCCGAGTCTGTGCTGCCTGAGTGGACCATCAGGGAGTTTAAGATATGCAGTGTATGTTAGTGTGCTTGGCTTCATTTAATAACCCAATTTGGGAAGATGTGAATCCTATTTTTGCTGATTGCTCTCCTGTAGTTTCAAATCACAAAAATTCCTACGTGGCACTGTTGTCAATTTTTAGTTTTCCTCCTGCTCTCTTCTCTCTTTTTTTTTCTTAAATTCTTTTATTGGTACATTGTAGGTATATAACACAATTACATTTCTCATTGGGAATTGTACCTTTACATGATGCATCTTGGTTCTTATGTTTTCCCCATTCCTAGCCCTCCCTTCACTTCACCCCCTTCCTGCTCTCTTCTCTTGCAGGAGGAACAGCTTGATGTACAAAGACTCATCCGTCACTTTCACTATACGGTGTGGCCAGACCACGGCGTCCCTGAGACCACGCAGTCCTTGATCCAGTTTGTGAGAACTGTCAGGGACTACATCAATAGGACCCCTGGTGCTGGGCCCACCGTGGTGCATTGCAGGTATGTATGTGGCAACCTAGGAGACAGAAAATGGCATCCATAAGAGCACTGTGCCATGGAATCTGAAAAAAAAAAAAAGCATAAATATGGGGACAGTGGTGGGTGGAAGATCTGTCTGGGCTCACCAGCTGCCTAACTCCCAGAGCATTTTATTACATTTTCTCTTTTCTGCTCTTCCACCTCACGCCTCTTCAGTAAACTTCTCTTCCACTTTCTTGCTCTTCTACCCCTCCTTCACCCTTACTCTCTATCCTTCTCTCTCCCTCTTGTTCTTTTCCCTACTGTATGGAACACAAAGTCCTTAAGTGACTTCCATGAACTTGATAGTTAGACCTAAGTTCCAAGTTCCCTACAACTCCCCTCCCATCCTCACCAGGAATGTGACCGCACCAGCTCAGTCATGCCTTTTGCCATTCTTATTCCTTGGGGTGGCTTATCTCTCTCCTCCACCTGTATAAGCCCTATGTATCCTTTAAGAAAGTTGCTCTAGACTACTCTCAGGTCTAGTCACATGTCTTTGATCATTGCTGTTGCTATAACAAAATACTACAGAATAATCTACAAATAGAAATGTATTTCTCAAAGTTCAGGAGACTGGGAAGTCCAAGATTAAGGCACTGACAGGTTCAGTGTCTTTTGAGTGTACAGTCTCTGCTTCCAAGATGGCACCTTGGAAGGGAGGCTGTGTCTTTACATTGCTGAAGGAACAGAAGGACAAAATGACATAGCTAGTTCCCTCCAGCCCTTTTATAAGACGCTAATATCATATATAACGTGGAGATCTCATGGCCTAATCACTTCCTAAAGATTTTATCTCTTAACACTCTTGCACTAAGCATGAATTATAGAGAATACAAACTTTCAAACCATAGCATAGCACTTGCTTAAGAGCACCCAATTTTGCTCTTAAATTTCTGTTCTCTCTTGACTTCGTGCTTCAGACAGTCTGTTCGTAAAATCGACCTAACAAGCCATCATTCTCTCTCCAGGGAGCCTGGTGCTTAGCTCATTAATGTATGCAACAGCACTTTGACAGTCCTAACTGGATGGCACTAATAAATAAAGAGCAGTGAATTGCTACAGTAAGAGAAATGTCAAGTGTGCTAATCTTCTCCCAATCAACCCAACACCCTATGAGCCTTGCTTTTATGTCATTGGAACCCCAATGCTTTTAATGAGAATGTGAGGTACTCAAGAGCTTCCTACTTTCTGATGAAAAAATGGCAGACATTTTGCCCAGGAACACTGGAGAATGGTTCTTTTTACCTTTTGAATGTATGCATTGTCAACCTAAATAACAACCAGAGATTCTCCCAAGAATAATAATATTCATTTGGGAATACCAGAACATTTAAATGGGAATATATGTACTATAGTAAAGGATAGGTGTATTTGAAGATCTCGAAGCAAGGGCAAGTTTTTAAGGCAAAAAGGAAGAGATTATTTACACATGCTACTTAGACACAAACCTCATTGATCCTCATGACCTGAGGCAGGAGTTGGTGTCAGCACATTGCTAGAGATACTATTGCTGAGCTGGTATTCTGTCAAGAATATCTTATCTGAATTGCTGCAGCCTTTTAAAACTGTTGTCACAGAAATCCACGCACATGTTCAGGGTATGCAAATTATCAGATGCTCATAGAACAGGAAGCTATTTTTGCAGGCCTTTCCAAAGACCTCAAGAAAGTATTTATCATGGACAGGCAAACATGAGTTCTCCCCCTTCTTAACTTCTCCACTCTGACTTTGCCTGAGTCTGATGAAAATGACTCCATCTTCGTAACAGCAACTCACACAGCATCCAAAATCCCCAGATGAGCCAGGTGTAGTGCCTCACGCCTGTACCCTATTACTCCAGTAATCTGAAGCAGGAGGACTGAAAATTCAAGTCCAATGTGGGCAAGTTAATGACTTAGTGAGATCCAGTCTCAAAATTAAAAAACAAAAAGTCTGAGGAGGTAGCCAAAAGACTCTGGATTCAATACCCAGGTACTAGAAAAGAATTCCCAGATTATACAACCACAAACTGACAATCCCTAGCAAAACTGAAAGTATTTATACTCTTGAACCAACCCAGATGTTCTGCTTCTAGGTGTCAACACATCACTGCACACGTTCACAATGATGTTCATGTGACACTTTTTTAATACAGAAAAACTAAAATTGCTTCATTGGCTATCAGTAGATAATATGTTAGCAATGGTTTATGAACTCTATAGAATGATTAAAAGAAATTAGATCTACATGTAACAACATGGATAAATCTCAAAACACAATATTGAATCAAAAATTGGCAAAAGAATACATTAAACAAGTTGGTATTTCAATAAATATATTGTTGATGGACCTATATGTTTGTAGGAAAAGTATAAAAACCTCTATGGAAACGATATCCACCAAGTGCAGAACAGTACCCCTGATAGAGGGAGAGGGAGGAAAGAAGGAGAAAAAGGTGGAATATTGCGTCTCTAGGTTACCTTTCTGTAAGAGACAGAGCTCATTGAGAGAAAGAAGCTGTCCTACATTCTTCCATAACTTGGACAAGAAAAAGAAAGACTACGCTAGAGTCTCTGGATACAATCCTGAAAAGCAAATTTAATAAAATGTTCTTTTACCATCTCTTCTAGTGCTGGTGTGGGTAGGACTGGAACCTTTATTGCACTGGACCGAATCCTCCAGCAATTAGACTCCAAAGACTCTGTGGACATTTATGGAGCAGTGCATGACCTAAGACTTCACAGGGTTCACATGGTCCAGACGGAGGTAAGAGCTACAGGCTGAGGGACACAGGCCACCTTTCACTTCCCCCTCCAGGGTTTTCATCAAACATGGAGAAATAACTGACTGTGGCACATTAGGATGAGAGAGAACTATAATTTAGACATTTTCTAGGACTTGCTATTATGAAATAAATCTCAATGTCCTTCAGGATGATGCCTACCCTTATTTTTTACTTAACTAGTTGCTCAGCTCAGGAAAGAATTAATTTAGGTGGGTAAGGAGAAAGGTGCATTTTTTAAAAATAAAGGAATATACATGGTGGAAAGGATACGTCAATCTATCTTGCACCTCGGTTTAAAATAAGTTGGTGGATGAATACAAGAACTTCAATTAGAGAAGGAAGATCCTAAGCTCTACTATCCCTCTGCCTTAAACTCTCTACCTGCATCTTCATCTCTGGAGACCCTAAGAGACTATGTCCATTGTCAAGGCTTGATATTTCCATTTGCTTCCATAGCCCTTTCACATTCACAGGTTTTTGTTTTGTTTTGCCATACTAGGGATCGAACCCAGAGTCTTTGCACTGAGCTACATCCCCAGCCTATTTTTTTAAATTTATTTTGAGATAGATCCTACTAAATAAGTTGTCAGCTCTGGGCTTGAACTTTCCATCCTCCTGCATCAGCCTTCCAGAGTGCTGGGATTACAGGCATATTCCACCATGCCTAGCTCACAGGTCATTTTAAAACATGTTATCCTATTACATTTTTATAATAACCAAATAAGAGAGGCACTATATTTTACTTCCAGACTAGAAAACTGAGGTCCAGGAGCTAAAGGGCTTTGCACAAAGCCCATAGTTATGAACCTGACTTGGACTATTTCTAGAAAATACCAGGCCTTTGAATACCAAGCTTACTGCTCCAACATCCTTAATCAGCTCTGTGCCCCACATACACCAGGGTAAGATTCTCTTACCTTGGTTTCCCCAAGTTTTTTTTCCCCAAGTAACTCTATAAACACCTCATATTAAAAAAATATGTGAAAAGGTGAAATGTTCTCTATTTTACCACGTCCCACCACAGAGTCAGAGCAGAGCACAGGCAGTCTCATGCCCTCTCACTCTTGGGCATCCTGAAGCACAGGTTCCCCTGGACCTTAGATGAGCCCACAATTCTGAAAACCATTCTGACCCCTGAATTCTTTCCTTGTGCAACACACATTCATAACTTTCAGTACTGACTTTCTACAGCACTTTTAGCAAAACACATGTGTCACTGCCTCCTGCAGGCAGGACCCACTGCCCTGATTTCTGCTACTGCCATTGTCCTGGATTAGGGGTACTTTCATTATAACAATTTATCTACCATATTTCAAACATTTCATTATGAAATTGCTAAAAAATAAAGTAGTACATAACACCAGAGTTAGGTGTAGAGCTCAGTGCTAGCCTAGCATGCATAAGGCTGTGGGTTGGATCCAGAGCAACACGCACACACAGAGAATGTGCATGTAACTACGGAAATAGGATAATGAATTTTCTTATACCCAAGCCCCAGCTTCTACAATTATCAGCATCCTGTGTTCTTTGGTCATCTAAATCCTGCATATACTGTTTCCCCTACTGCCATGACCCCATGGGAATATTTTAAAGCAAATCCTACTTGTCGTATTATTTCATTCTTAAATAAGTCTCTATGCAAGTCTATATATATAAAGAGTCCTTTAAAGATCATGATCACCATGCCATTTATCACACCTAACAATTTTAACAATTATCTCCAAATATCATCTAATACCTAGTCAATATTTAAATATCCCTAATAATCTCTTATTTGTTTACTTATTTATTTACTTACTTATTTAGAGTTGCTTAGGTTCAAACTCAGGGCCTTGTGCATGCTAGACAAATGATCTATCACTGAGCTGCATCCACAGCCCTTCTAATTATATTTTTTTAAATTACTACTGTAAAAAACTGTAGCTGATTTTCATTAGACTCCAAAGTCCACATTTCATTTGACTGAAGTATATTTGAAATCTCCTTTAGTCTACAATAATCCTCTCTCCCATTTGTTTTCCATGCCATTTATTTGTCAAGGAAACCAGCTCATTTGTTTAATACATGTTCCCACTTTCTGGATGAGGCTGATTGATTTTTCTTGGTGGTAACATGTTCCTTTGCTCTGCATGGTTTCCTTTGGATGGTCATTACACCAAGAAGCTTGATTAAACTCAAGTTTTCCCACCATAGCTCTGCCCTGGTGGTGCCAGGTACTTCTTGTTTCATCACATGAGGAGATTGATCATCAGGTTTGTTTTTATCTGAGTACAGAGAAATTAACATTGGGGTCATGGGGTGTAAGCCTGAACCATCCATCACCAGTTTCCCCAATAACCTTTGGCCTCATGGTTTAACAGCCATTGATGACTGCTGTCTAGCTCTATTATTTTGTTAAGGGAATTATATCACCCTGTATCGCGACAACTGTTCTTCCTCAGCTCTCACCACAAGACTACGAGTCCCTAGAGGGTAGGAACTTGTTTTCCTTCTCTATATCCTCAGTATTTTTTATTAAATGAATGAACCTACAATTATCTGGCTAAAACTTCAGAACTGATGTTTGTTTACTGTCACATCCACAAACTCAGACTATAGTTTATTTTTAATTTGGGAAAGAAGAGGTTGTAACATTGTCAATAGTCTTGAGTGTATATATGTGCTTGTGAGAGAATGAGTGCGTGTGTGTATGTGTTTGTGTGTGTGTGTGTTTAGGCTCTGTAGTTACTGTCAAAGACTTCTTGCACCATGTTTCACTTCCAAACCCATGTTCAGAATGCTAGAGTTGCATTTTGACCAAAAGCAAGAACTATTATACATGTCCCTGGCTAACTTTCAGAGCAAAGGTAACACCAATGTACCAAAGCTCCTCCTCCTTCATAGAAATAAGCCTCTCTTTCCTATGTTTTCTTCTCCTCCTCTCAGAAAGAATATCCTACAGCTTTGTTCCTCAATTTGCCTTCTCAGTATTTGAGTTCCCCAAGGTTATACCCTCAAAGTACAGCTCTTATTTCTTTCAATCTTTGTTCTTTTTGATGTCCTCCACTCTAGTGGCTGCAGGAACCATGCATACACTTCTGTTCCCTAAATCTAATCCTCCTTCCCTAGCATTTACCAAGTACCTACCTGCCAGTTAGTTCCACCCGGAGGCCTTTCAGTGAGCTGAAATTTAAAATGTTCAACACCAAACTCTTTACCTTTTTTAAAAAACAACCACCACAAAAACTAAAGCACTCCAGCTGGTATACATTCATAGTGTTGCTATCCATGTATTTGCACATCCAGGCAACAGGAGGTCCTGCCTCCAGATTCTGACCTACTTCATCACTACTGTCACCATAAAAGGTCCCTCACAGATCATGTTAAAGTCCCAGGAAGTTCCCATTGCTTGCAAAATGAAGCTCAAGTTTTCATCCTCGTATCCAAGCTCCTTCTTCATAACCTGTCCCTAACTTGCTTCTCCAGTTTCATGTCTATCCATTGCCAGTATTTTAGGGGCTGATAAAATTAAGGAATCTTTCCCTCCCAGGCCTGAATGAGCTTTGATTCTTTTCATTATGGTGAAATAAATATTGCAGTAAGATAGAAATTTTCTCTTTCCCTTTTTTCTTGGTCAAACAAAATCCCAGTCAATATCAGATCTGATATTGCTCTAAGATAATGCCAAAGTTGCACATTTTCTACAGTCCCACAATCTCTAGCCTGACTTTTTGGTAATGGGAGTGGGTACAGAGGTGTATAATCAACATCCAAGCCCTTTGAGGGTAAATGCTTCAACAGAAGAGAAAAAACATTCTCAACACTTATATTATTTTTCTAGGTCCATGGTGACAGTTGGCCTCAATTTTCTCCAAGGAATGCAATTTATCACAATTTTTGATGAACATAACAAAGAACAAGCATTTCTAAACAAAAAGCATTAAACAGATAATTTGCAAGTATGTTCCTCCCTTTACCTTGCCTTGGGGCAGATTTGCAGCCTAAACTTGAGAGAAGCCCTCAAAGAGCAACAACATTTTAAGAAACAATAGATGAAGGTCAGAATTTGTCACTCAGGTCCTCTTCTCAAGAGAAGGAAACACTAAGGTGTTGTAAGATTAAGAGTCTCAATCCCCATTTGGGAAATTATGCTTGAGTTTTCTCATGACCCATACAATCTACATTTAGCTACACTATATTTCTCATCTCCAAAATATGTGTGTACTTGCATGTTATTTCTATCACTTGGAATGCCCTATTGTGTTCACATTCTTTAAGATGTCATCTTTTCTGTCTATCTTGACACTTTACCTTCCCAAAAGTAAACCTAAGGGCTTCCTCTTCTATACAAAGTTGTATACATATTCTATTTTATATTTATCATCCTCTAGGTATTTGTTCATATGTCTGCCCTTCTGCTAAACTATACACTCAGAGCCCATGAAAGACAATACATCTAGTACTATGAATTCTACTTAATACTACAAGTATTAATGAAATTAAATGAAACTGAATGTGTTACCACCAATCCAAAGCTTTGTCCATTAACAAAAAATGACCTTTCATGATTTGAAGTTCATCCATGAGATTTTTTTCAACTTCTTAATGAATAAAATGAGAATTACATTAATCATTTTCTAAGGGGCATTCTATTGGGAAAAGAAGAATTGGTATTAAAGTCAAGGCAAATTAATAGATATTAACTAGTTTCAAAGCCCACAGTGGATCACTGTTGAAGAATTTATTAATAGGCCTTATATAATATAGTTCATTCAGATATAATAGAATTCATTCATAGTTTACCTGTAAGGTTCCAAAATAATGTAATATCTCAGTAGAATTAAAAATAGGAATTATGCTTTCGGTCTGAGGAAACAGCAAGGGATCAGTCTACAATTTGATGGATCATTTTAAGATGCCAAAGAGAGAAGTACTCTGGACTAACCCATTCTCAGATTAGTACTTTCCTTGAATATTCAAGGTCAAGATGGCAATAAAATACTCATAACTAATAAGTAAGTCTACGAGCAGAAAAGCAAAAAACAGTTAACATTAGAGCAAGCCTCACTTTTTGTTTGTTTGTTTGTTTTTGGTACTGGGGATCAAACTCGGGTCCTTGCACTTGTGCAGCAGGCGGCAAAACCACTGAGCTAAATCCCCAGCCAAGCCTCACTTTTTCAAAGTTTCCTAATCTATTGATTATTCCAGACCTACCTCTTAAAGTCGCATGGGTAAATGACAAGACTATCTTCCCATCAGGAACAATGCATAGGGGTAACTCATGCAAATAAGTACTTGCTCACTTTAAAAGGCTGTTACAGAGGGAAAATTTTTTAGTCCCACTTTTACCTCAAACCTTCAAGACACTGTAAGACTGGCTGCATTGATTGCCTTAGACAGAGGGTCCAGAAATATTTTTCAGTATCTATCTAACTGACATCAATACCAAGACTTACACCCTTTAATGTACAAAGGATGTTATCTGTAGAGGAGACCTTGAGCTCCTTCTTTTATAGATGGGAGAACTCAGATCCCAAGAGGCTTCATGAGTTAACCAGGCCAGTCTGAGGCTGAGAGCCCAGTCTCCCTTACTTGTTTTCTTATTCCCCTCCCAACTTCCTCACTGCCTGGCCTCAGAGCAATTGCTAAATCAGTAAGGGAGCCCAAGGCCAAGCACCAAGGTTACAGAGACATCTATGCTCTTATTAGAGAGCTCACCTGGTAGGAAGGAAGGGGATCCAGTGCACAAATTTGGCTGCTGTGCCTAAGACACTATTGTCAGTGAAAAGTCTTTGTAGTGTCTTTACAGTCGCTAAAGTACTGATTCTTCTATGTATTTCTGAAATGGTCAATTCCCCGATAGCTAACAATATCCTGACTATGTAACCCTTTGTATTTCTCTTCAGTCAGGCAACATCTTTGAGATTCTTCCATGGGCCAGACTTGATGCTAAGAGAGCAGACATGAGCTAACCACTGACATTGTGGTCAAAGAAATGACAGTGAAGCTTATTGAATATACTTCATTTTTCTCACTGATTCACCAAAACAGGGGAACAAAACAAACACGATTTTTCTCATAAGAAAATTGGTGCACTAAAAACATGAACTTGGAGGGCACAGCCTCTGGATCAAACCCTAGGGCTTCCTTTCTTAGCTATGTGAACTTGGAAAAGTTAATGAACTTCTGAGTCTCAGTTTATATTGATAGTTATAGCTATTTCAAAAGATTGTTGAAATTATGAAATGATTTCATATAAACTACATAGCAGAGTGCTTGGCATTCTTTCATCTATGTATTTGTGAAGGACCTACTGTATGCCAGACATACTACTAGGGACTCAGAGTACTTATACAATAGATATGCACCATGTAAAAGAGATGTACAAACACATCTCTGCCCACTGACATTCTTCTATTTTCAGTGATAATGAAAAGCATTCATTTTTTATGTACCAGAGACAGTGAAGTGATCGAAAAATTTGCCAGTTATGCAGAATTGCATCACTGTTTGTATTTTGTAACTGTTCCTAATCTTTGATGTGTGTTCTGCTTTCCCATAGTGTCAGTACATATACCTACATCAGTGTGTAAGAGATGTACTCAGAGCAAGGAAGCTACGGAGTGAACAAGAAAACCCCCTGTTTCCGATCTATGAAAATGTGAATCCAGAGTATCACAGAGGTAGGATCTTATTTCATTTACTCTTCAGTACATTTTTCAAAATATAGTCAGCCTAGAAATTGTTAATAACCTAAAGCTCTCCTGACATTTATCATCTATTTTTTCCTTTGATCCAGAGGGTCCCCAAAAAGAGTGGAACAGGAGGAGATAGGAAGGAGGTTCCCACAGTTCAACAGCAGTCCTTGGTGCCATCTTTTACCCACTGAGTCCAAAGGGCACTCTTGAGGACTCTGCTTCACATTTCTTTCCCAAGCAATGAGCCTTAGTGGGGAGGATGGATTGAAATCACAACTGACAGTTCAAATTGTAAAATTGTTTTGGGGAATAATTTGGAAAAGTGTGAAAGATCTTAATATATTATCTTGTGACCCAGTATTTCTTTTGCCACCCCGAGTACAGAAAAAGCTTTATGCATAAAGCTTTTCCCAGTTAAAGTTTGAGTAAAAAACTGTTCAGTAGAGAACTGTATTGGTTATCTCTGCATCACCACAATAAAATATCTAAATTTATGAAGAGAAAAGGTTTATTTAGTTCACAGCTTGGAAAGTTCAAGGTTGTAGAACCAGTTCTGGTGGAGATCTCATGATGGACACAGTCAGAGAAGCACATATCAGATCAAGTGGTCACATCTAGAGCCAAGAGGAGAGAGAACTTGGTGGAACCACTCACCTATTTATAACAATTTTCTTATGAGCTCTACCATGGAGTTTCATGACCCAAGGACCTCCCACAAGCCCCCGCCTCCCAAAAGTTCTATGCTGGCACTTGCTAACACTACCACCCTAAAGACCAAGCCTTCCATCAGAATGGACCCTTGACAGACACAAACCATATTCAACTTAATACAATATGATGCAGTCATTAAGAATGATATATGATATAGATACAGATACAGATATAGATACAGATAAAGATTTTTTTTGACATACAGTCTCACTGTGTTGCCTAGGCTGGCCTCAAACTCTTGAGCTCAAGAATCTTTCCCCTTTAGCCTCCCATGTGGCTGAGGCTCTAGGCACATGCATCACACTTGACTCAAGAATGATATTTTTGAGGATATTATAATAATATGGATATTCTTACAAATAAGTTTTTTTAGTTCCTGAGACCAATATCTACAAAGAAAAGATATTTGAGCTGGGTGTGTAGCTCAGTGGTAGAGCACATACTTAGAATGGGTTCAATTCCCAGAACCACACACACACACACACACACACACACACACATACACACACAAAAATAAACAAAAGATAGAGGAAGAATGTATTGGTCAGCTTTTCATCACTGAGACACAATACCTGACACCCATAACTTAAAAGGATGAGATTTAATTTGGCTCACAATTTAAGGGGACTCTTCTCATGGCCAGGTCGGGTGAGATAGGAACATCATGGCAGAAGGGTGTGGTGGAGCAAAGTTGCTCAGTTCATGGCATCCAGGAAGCAGAACAGGGAAACAGCACCAGAGAGGAAAGGTGAGGGAATAGGTACTGTGTACCCAGGGTCAAACACCTGTGATCCACCCAGACACACCCAGATGTGTGCTTTACTGTTCCCCTAGACAGCTCCCAAGCCAACCAAGTTTACACAAAAGCTTAACCATCACAAAGAAGAAACAGAAAAAGAAAAGAGAAAAAAAGAAGAGTTTTCTTTAGCTCCCAATGTTAGAGGCTGGAAGTCCAAGGGCAGGCAGATCCCATCTGTTCAACCTGTATGGAACCCTCGTAGCTGAATCACAACATGGTGACACCATCACATAGCAGGACCACATGTGACAGTGGAAGAGATCATATGATAAAAGAGGAAGCAAGATATAGAGGTCTCTTTTATAATAATCTTAATCTTGCAGAACTAATCCACTCCTAGAAAACCTAACTCACTCTGGAGGACGGGCGATAATTCCCTCACAAGGGGAGTCATGAAACTCACCTTCCACTGGGACCCACTTCTTAAAGGTCCCCCCACCACCTCAGTACCATTATACCGGGGTCCAAGCTTCCAACACAAGAATCTTTGGGTGACAAACCATATCTGAGGCATAGCATAAGTTAAGCAAGAAAAGCAGAATGTAAAACAAAAACAATTCATAAGACAAAAAAAAAAAAAAAAAAGACTGGGAGAAAATATAATAGTAAAATATATTTCTCTGAATAGAAAATTACATGATTGTTTTCTTCTACTGTAAGTATATTTCTAGAACAAACAAGTAACACTTTTCAAATGTAAAATGATATAGAAAAAATGTATAAGTCTTTTAAAACACTGCTTTGATCAACCCATAATTAATTGACAAAAGAAGAGTATGCCTCTTCCCATTTCGGGCCATCATTATCACACAGGCCAATTGCAAATATAAAGGTACATGATATTAGTTATCTTTTGCTCCCTACCAGGGGCCTTAGTTCCTTGCTCCTAGCCCTTATCTCTACTTATAAATCAGATAATTTTTATTGATAAACACTATTTCAGACCTATCTTATCTTCATTTCTAAATGACCTTCAATTGGTAACATCTAACATTTTTAGTTTTCTATACTCTCTAAACCGACCAGTCTAACCAGTATATTAAAGAGTTAATAATCTGTAAAGCACAAATAAAGAGTTATTATTTAGAGGAGTCTTTTGTAAATCAGATAATTCTTTTGTATTGTAAATAATTACCCCCTAATTTATCTGTATAGTAAATTAAGGTTTTTGCTTGTCATATTCTTTAAGAAGCTCCAAGATGAAGGGAGCCCTGGGGCAAATTCCTTTGTCTAGTTTTGCCTTTAGAGTCTTTTTTTGGAGTAATTATTTTGATAGAGCCTGAAAGAAACTAACTATGGAATAGAAAAAGATAACCACCATCTGAAGGCTACAATGCAGATCTCAACTCCAGAACTAAGAACTACTCATTACTACTAAGGAGCTGTGTAACCTTGAGTGAGTTATTCTGTCTCTCTGGGTCCATAGCTTCATCTGTAAAACCAGAGAGGATGGACTAGCGGCTCTAGTCCCCTCCAAGTCTGATCCTCTGTGTTTCTAAATGGAATGACCTTGTCTCATAGAGATGGTCTCATCCTAAAACATACTCAGCTTTAAGTCATTTTCACTAGTCTTTCTCATTTGTAATTTTCATCAACAGATTTTTGTGATACACCCTGCTACAGTCTCTAATTATGTTGTCCTTCCTTTCAGATGCAGTCTATTCAAGACATTAAGATTGTACCTGAAGTTCTCCTGGATAAAAATTTTTCACTGTGTGATTTTTTTTAAAAAAACTTCCTTCATTCCCTACCAAGGTGCCAGCTATTTCTGTTGATACTATGTATAATTTATTAATCTGGAGAATGTTAAAGAATTTATGTAATTTAAAGGTAACAGATATTGTTGTACATAGTTGTATTTTGTAGTTTCTCCTGTAAATATGTATTTTTTCATAATGTTTAATATTAAGCTTTATATAATACTATTTTTCCACACTAAAGTGTTTATGGCTTGTTTTACATAAACTAGTTCAACCTGTATGACAGGACTACAGGTGAAATGTGTATGGAGGTGGTTGTAGAAACAAACCGTTGGACTATCTTTTTTATCTATCTAAATACTCACTGGTCAGGATACAGGGCCAGACTAGAGAGATTATACAGTATGACTAGCTCTGTTGCATTGCTGTCCCATGAATCTTGAGATCCAAAGATGACCCAGATGCTATTAAGACAAATACAACTACAACTGCCAAAAAAAGATTAGGGCAGGGGGTATAGCTCAGTGGTAGAATGTATGCTTAGTATGCATAGGCTCTGGGTTCAATCTCCAGCAAAAAAAAAAAAGAAAGAAAGAAAAAATTAGGGATAGCATGAAAGCTGAGCTAGGTCACTGTGCCTAAACTAGTTGTTCTTTCCCCTTTCTCCAGTCAGAGAATCAAGCCAAAATGGTCAGCTCAGGGGTCATGTAACTTGCAGTGCAAGCCCAGGCTGCAGGGTTGAGGATGTTGATAGATGATGATCCAAACAGAAGTCCAGGAATTCTTGTATTAAGAAGAATACTATCCACAGTGATTAGAGATGATTTTGCTGTATCCACAGTGTGGAACATGAACATGCATAACCATGCTAAAGATGGTTGCTGGACATATTCTAGTCTTTGTCTCATTTCAGTGGTCTGCATTTCTGGAAAAGTCATATTTGGATTTCCCAGTAAAAAAAAAAGATTATGGAGCTCGGGATTTAGCTCAGTGGTTTGACCGCCTGCCTCGCAAGTGCAAGGACCCAAGTTCGATCCCCAGTACCAAAAAAAAAAAAAAAAAAAAAGATTATGGTGGCTATGAGTCATATTTGTTGATCCCACAGCTTTACTTGCAGAAAGAATATATTTTTCTTCAAAATACTACCTATCATAAAGTCCCATACATAACAAAATACATACAATTAGCATAATAATTTTAAAATAATATAAATAACAAGTTTATAATTATTTCACATCCAATCTAAAAGACTTCCTGGTGTTATTTGAAGCTTATAAAAATAGAGGGACACTTCATGAGGACACTTTTGAAGAGTAATACAAATATTCAAAGTTCTTATAGCTTCATTATCCCTCTGCCTTTATGAAATGAGGCCGTAGGCTCTGACTCTGAATCTGAGAACTAAGTGTGTGTTATAGAAATGAAAAGGAGCCACATACCTTGCAGTGTGGCAGACATAACACCAGGAAAAACATAGAGGTCAGAAATTTATGAGCAGTGGCATCTATTAGGGATCATTTTTCCTACACTTAAAAAGAAAAGCAAGGGAAAAACAAAACAACTTTAAACTAACGCTGCTCATGGATACCTGGAAAGATAAATTCATTTTTGACTTTTCACTCACTCAGAAAACTTTAGTAAGTGCCTACAACCTGCTAGGCGTTGTTCCAGAATCTCCATGTTTCTATCTGCATAAAGCGGATGTATGGTAATAATGAAGTTAGGTCTTCGTTACTGTTTTCAAGTGAACTTAAAAGTGAGCCTGGGTGAGGGCTTGAGATAACCAAGCCAGTCTAGGAGAGCAGTCACCTTCCACAGACCGTACACTGGCAAATGCTGAGCCTGCTCCAGTTGCAAACCACTAGATCCAGAAGAGAGAGCAAAAAATCACATAAACCAGGAATAATAGCTATTAAAACATACATATCTGTAACAGTAAATAACACGCATATTCTCTGGCAACATCTAAGGTGGAATCAGAATTACAGAAATGAATATGATAGAGGAAATTTTACATTGTTTTAGTCTAACCCAAGAAATATTGATTTCTACTCCATGGCTAATTTTAAATCTCCTTAGCAACAAATTTACGCTATCCTTCTTGTTCCCAGGAAGACTAAATACATAATCTAGTTAATCTATTTATTAAATTTAAGAGATTAAAAAAAAGGTCTCCTTGACATTCCACTCAATTGGTTGTATTTCCACTTAATTGCATCCTGTGGCTGTGCCTTGGTAAACACTCCATTTCCTGTGCTGGTGGGCATCCTGTCTGTGCACCTGTGTGGTGCACTTTAATCATCAAGGCTTCAAAGTGCTTTCGAGCTATCAAATCTTGGGAAAGCTCTATCTTGCATCTTAATAATTATTTATCCAAGATCCTTATTATTAACTCCTTTAATCTCTTCTTATTAAAGCAATTTTGTGTTATTATTCTGTTGTTCTCTGGAAAGCAGCCAATTTTTTGTCTCTTGAATCAGGATTTTCAAAGACTCGCCTCCCTGTCTGGCTTGCATGTATTTGTCCTAAGTAATTTCCCATCCCTTAGCACCTGTGATGCCCACTCTTTCACTATTTACCCCCCTCCCTGCTGAGTGTGCTTGCCTTGCCAGTTGAATGTGATTATATCTCTTATTTGTCTTATCTCTTTATATCCTTTGGCATAATTTAATAGATGCCACATTACAGAGGAGATGAGCATAATTTCATTTTTAAATACTAAAATAGCCAACACATACAGTCTGAGATCAGTTTTATTTGGGATATTCTTTAATTAATTTTGTTATTAGCTCTTGGAAGAAAGCCCAAGATTACACGAAAAAATAATATGAAGCCAGTCAGCAGATGTCCAGCAATACAAAAATAAGGCTCACATGTTATGCTTCACACTTATTCTCTTGCCTTGGAGTCTAAAGATCCAGTTTCTCATATTAAACATTCTCCTTACTTTTTGCTGTAAAATTATATCCAATGTAATTCTCATTTACTTAGTTTTCTGAGAATTCTTTGAGGCTGGAATCCTGAAATCTTAAAGTTATCAGATCTGTCTGATAGTATCTGAGACCCAGCTCTGGGGTTTTAGTCCGCATACATGGACAGACTCAACCTAACCTAGAAACAATGAATAGGGAATAAGCTGCTTGTTTGTGGTAGCAGTGCAGGGGCTTTTCAGGTTTCATTTCATTAAAGAAAGGAAATTACTTGATCAGCCAAGGCAAAGTGGCAAGAAAAAATGAGTGATCCTCCTCCAAGTGGAAGGGCACAAGCTCTCAGCCCTACCTCATTCCTGTAGAATCAAAGTAAAATATGTTGTATCTGTCTAGATGCCCTATTAATCTTCTGAGGATCTTTAGCCCAAGATTTAGAATCACATTGGGTATTCAAAGAATGCTTCATATCAAAGGAAACTCTGTAAACTGTGACTGCAGAAAGCAAGTAAAAAGATACAAAGAAGGGAAAATATTTGAAAAAAACATTGAACCAGATATCATCAGGGAGATAAAAATGTCATTTGTTCTGTGTGGCTAGATTGTTCTTTAAAAACTCTTATCATATATTTCTATTAGAATATATATGTTGAACATCCTTAATCTAAAAATTCTGAAATCTGAAATGCTCCAACATTTAAAGTTTTCAAAGCACCAATATGACACCATAGCGGAAAATTCTACAATGGACCTTATGTGATGTGTCATAGTCAAAGTTCAGGTGCATTTAAAATGTTGCATGGAATTATCATCAACTATACATATAAGGCATATATGAAACATAAATAAATTCCATATTTAGACTTGGATCAAAAACATGAAACACTTCTAGTCCCAAACATTTCAGATAAGGGATATTCAACCTATACTGCCCTTTTTAGGGATTCACTTTGATTACATTGGCCAGATGCTTTTGCTGATCAAGCAATTGAATTGATTCATCTAATTTTGACAGTCAACCAGGTGTTTGACTAAATGTCCTGGGTTTGGTAGACACCCTACCTTAGATTCTTGCAGTGCATGATGATTTTGAAAATATTTGGCCATTTTAGTTAAAATGCAAGGTAACATTTGATGCAGCCATGATAACACCAAAAATCTGTTCTGTTCTAAAAATGTTTCTAGCAATGAAAATATTTCTGGCTAAAAGAATACTCTTGCCTTGTAGGGAGGCTCCTTTGGAATAACTGTATGCATTTTATTTATTTAAAGATTGTCTATATAGATACATTCATTAAATAAGGAAATTGTTGGTGAATGCTCCTAAAATAGAAGTTTATGTAATGAAAGTAAAAGATATATTAAAAGATTTACCAAAGATTATTTTTATAACTTATATGCCAATGCACATGATCTTATATAAGACACCAAAATAAGTTATTCAAAACTGTGAATATGTCAGACAAACACAATGTGTCCCTTCTAGAATAGTCACAAGATGAGTTAGTTATGGCTGTTTTCTGCCTCAAGTAATTCTTCCAAGAAATATCATCTTCACCCTAACAGTAAGCTTTCAAGTATGTTTGAGATATTGTGTTTCAGCTGCTGTGTGTAAATAAACATCCCATCAAGAAAGGAACACATGCAATGTAGTTTTAGGAATCTAGCAGAGTTAAACCGTGTTCATTTCCAAGTTAGTGGAAGGGTCTATATTAGTGTCCGTGGAATGTCCTAATCTCAGCCACGCTGACCGGAGACTGTACCAGTGCTCTTACTTGAGCCACACTTGATCTCCGGTCTTCCATGTGAGAATGGCCAGGTTTATAAATTCTTCAAGAACAAAACCAAGTGTTTAATCTGTTCTCTACTCCTACCTTGTAGAAAATAGTTCACAGCTCATAGCCATTCTATGTATACTTTTCGTTGGAAATTGCTCCTAGTCTGATACTTTTGGATATTAGTGTCCATGGAATAATTCTTATGTCTATGGAAGTTCATCAGGCTCTGTTCTTTGATTTATATGAATCATAAATATATAAAGTAAATAATTCTAGCAACTGAACTTAATTATGTTCTATAATAGAGCACTTTTATATTTTTAAAATCATTTGTTCTTTCTCAGCATATCTGGTTAAAATGGCTGTTGTTGATTCCATTTTTTGTATACTATAGCATCTACCCACAATATTGTGTTTTTAACCAACTGTATTTGAGCAGAGAACTTCATTAGTTTATTTAAATTATGTATTTGCTTAATATATTTTCATATTTGTAACTGTGATAAAAATCTATATAGTATCTTGCACCCATTCTCACCAGTATAGAAATAAAACTGCTATTTGTTGGAGAAGAGTGTCCTGTGTTTTATTCACTTGCTCCTCATTTATCAATTTTTGTCATTCTTTTGCTCAGGATAAAGGTCAAAACTTCCTGCTTTTAAATGAGAACAATCTTTCAGGACATTATCATGAAGAAGATAATTGTTTTAACCTCTATTCCTGTAAGCACTGTTAGTTACCTACAGCTGTGTATATACAGAACACACTCTCCACTTGGCTGTCTTCAACTAAATTCTTCTTTTCAGTTTTTTAGTTCATTAGCAACCAAAATATTATCTATTACCAACAGTGCTGATGTATCATCAGAGGTGCTGGCCCGGCTGGGTCACTGCAGGCCCTTCAAAGACACTTCACACATTAGTGGATGCTGTGACATTTGGTAAAGAGCTGCTGTGCCTACTTCCAGAATTATGAGTTTGCCCTTTTGCCTTTTTCACATTTCAGTTGAAAGACCAGTGTCCTTCACAACTCTGGTATTTTAGTTTTTGATAACTTATTTCAGAAATATTGATTTTTTTAAAAAGTATAATAATAGATTTATATATAAAAAGCAATCCTTTTTCAAAATAGTTTCTGGATTCAAATGATTAGGTTAATAAAATAATTTGATCTATGAATTAGACTTTTCAAAAGTAACTGATGGAATTTGCTCTTCACAAGAGAGAATTACAGGAATGAGGTGTGGTGGCACATGACTATATTTTCAGCTATTCAAGAGGCTGAGGCAGGAGGATGGTGTTTCCAGGCCAGCCTGGGTAACATAACAAAGTGGTGTCTCAAAGGAAAAAATTTTTAAAAGAGAAAATATTATATATGAGGTTATAGCTCTATGGTAAAATGCTTACCTAGCACATATGAGGTTATGGGTTAGATCCTCAGGACTGCAGGAAGAAAGGAAGGAAGGAAGGAAGGAAGGAAGGAAGGAAGGAAGGAAGGAAGGAAGGAAGGGAGGGAGGGAAGAGAAAAGAAAGAGAGAGAAGAAAGACAGACAGAATATTACAATTTAAACTAATTACTTAGTGGTTTTGCTAATATATCTTCCACAATCATAAAATGTTAGAGCTCAAATGGCCAACTTGGAATCAAAATGTAGGAAATCAAGACTCCAGTTTAAAAGTGATAAGCTGAGCCAGCTGAGATGGTGCACACCTGTAATCCCAGCTTCTAGGGAAGCTGAAGTAGAAAGATTATAAATTCAAACCTGGGCAACATAGTGAGACTTCGTTTCAAAAACTATGAAATAAAATTAAATAAATGATAAAGCAAAATAAGACAATGTTAGAATCTTAACCTAGTCTTCCTACTACTTGCAGTGGTAGATATAGACAAATAAGAAAGCTGCTCAAAAAAGTAAAAGAAAAGAAAGCTGCTCAGAAACCAGTGGGCTATGTGGTCATGTATAACAGTGAGACAAAGCGATCAGTGCAACCTGCAACATTTTGCATGATTAATCCTCTTTTTGTTATCACATGTCTGGAGACATCCACTTGCTAACAAATCTCAGGCAGTATTTTAGAGTCACTTCTTAGTAAAATTTATCACACTCTTAAAGCTAAAACAAAATGAAATAGGAAAGGGGAAAAAACACACTTTTTCTAACATAATATCATCCTCAAATTTTATTAAATACAATTAAATCAAACCACCTAGAATCCAGAAGAGTTTCTACAGTGAGATTTTTTAGAGAATTGGTGAGCTTTTTAATGCTGCCTGTAAAAGGAGCATTCATAATTGAAGAGTCAACAATAACTGATGGAGTTCAAGTCTGCGTAATAGAGAAAAATCATGCAGTGATGATTGTGTGCAGGAGGAGTTAACAAACCACAGGAGGTAATAAACCCCAAAGGCCATGCTTACTAAAATATCTTCCCAATACAGTGCTTCCCAAGATAACTTTTACTACTATGATAAAGAATTATTGATTTATCTAACCGGGGTTTTATTGTGACAAAGACTCCGTTGACCAAAATTTTAGTCAGATTCCAGTTCTTTGCTTGACCAGGCCCAATGTTGGGCTTCTCTCTTGTTTTTAAAAAATCCAGATTACAACAGTTTAGTGAAAATCCCCAGACACTGGTACATGACCACCTTCAATCACTTACCACTCCTGGCCTACCTGCAGCAAGAATTATCTTTACTTCTGATATCTTCTCTTAGTAAATCTCCATCCACTGACTCCTACCCTGCTTATTGGTTATAGATTTTCATTTGCCCTTGTAAGAACTGGAGTTGAGTCCAATCTCTCTCCCCCACAACAAGATCTCACTGCAGTGGTCTTTATATATATTGCCATGACTCTTTATATAAGTCTACAATCTGAATTTAGCACCTGTCATGAATATTTTTTTGTTTAAGAACTATAATGATATAAGAAACTTTTGTAAATTATCTTAATAAAGAGTTTACTATCCTCTTTGCTCCTGGAACTCTTGACCCCAAGAAGAAATTTGACATTTATTTCGGTCTTTAAGAAAAAGCTAGCAACCAAATATGTTTCCCATCTCTATTATTCTGCTATAAGCCATTGGTGATCAAGAAGTTTCTGTATTTTAAGTCTTAGTAAGGAGCTATGGTAAAAAAAAAAAAAATCAAAAAAGCTGACAACATGATTATAGAAACAAAGGGCATTACAAACGGAGAGGGTCAGAAGCCTAAGCTCTAATTAGATAACACCATTTGTAAGCAATACAAAGTTTTTAAGATGTATTTTGTTTCCAAAGAACTTTCCTGTGGCAACTGACAACCAAGCTGACCATTTCTTCAACCAAGTAGGCCATACCTTCTTCACTCAGGAGAGCAGGCTACAGAGAGAAATAATCATATTCCTTCAAAGAATAACACATCAGCAATAAATAAAGGTGAACAGGGAATGGAAGAAGAAATAAAATGAATTATTTTGTTTTGTTGTCAGGTTTGGTAAAAGACTGAGGAGAAGACATTTGGAGAGTAAAATTAAAGTATGAAGCAGAACCTGAAAGAGCCTTTTGGAGTCTTAGACCTCTTACAGTAATAGAAGATTTTCACATTCAACCTGAGAAGACTGTCCAAGTCCTGTTTAAAATGCTTAGCTGGGCATAGTGATGTATATCTATAATCCCAGCACTTGGGAGATAGGGGCAGGAGGATCACCATGAGTTGGAGGCTAGACTGAGCTACATAGTGAGGCCCTGACTCAAACACACACACACACATACACGCACACACACACACACACACAGAAAAATAAATGAAATAAATAAAAATAAAATGCTACAGATCTACAGATGAGCTGGGATTGTACCTCAGTGGTAGAGTAGATACTTAGCAAGCTCCAGGCCCTGAGTTCAATCCCAAACACCACCTAAAAAATAA